GAATATGAAATAAGCAAAATATAACCTAGTATTTTAACAAATCGTAAAACTAGACTCTGGGTTCTTTACTAAACTGTCAAAACATTACACAACTGATCTTGAAAACAATTCATTTTCATAGGTTAACTACCAGAAAATCATTGAATTTATAAAATGAAAAGAAATCGCATGCAAATGAAGAAGCAAAGGAGGCTAATTTTCATAATTGAAGAAAAATAAATTATTCTTTCAATAATTCAATGATAATTTATCGACTATGACGCCTTTATTTGTACTTTCATTCTTATCTTGATAAAAGGCAAAGTTACTCTTTGCTTACAGCAGAAGAAAAGAAGCAATTCTTGACATTGAGCATTTGTTTTTTGAAATTTAGTCGCACTGGGAATCACTGGTGATGCGATCTGCCACAAATAGGTAATAGAGGTAACGAACGGAGGTAATAAAGAGCTTCGAGAGCTGAACTGTGGGTGAGAAGGGAGATCACAAAGGCAGATAAATTGAATAAAGTCAAATAAATCCGGAGATTTATTTTAGAAGAAGTGAAAACAGACTAAACGATCAACGTCATCACTTAAGTGACAAATCTAAAAAAAACAAGTTGGAAAGTGAAATCATGATTGTTTTGTCAGGCAGAAAAAACGCCTATTCAAATAAATGTTACTTAATTTTTCCATGCCTAGTGGTAAATAATTTGTAGACTTGAGATTTAAAAGGAGTTAAAATAGTTTCAAACTAGGGAAAAATTTTATTGAAAGAAAAGGTATATAATTTATTGAAAATCTACTAATTTTGATAGCCTCACCTTTAAAATTCCAAGTTTATTTATAAATGAAGGTAAACAAGGAAAATAAAATAATTATCAAAAATGTAATATTCGATATTCTAATAAGATTAAACAACCTGGTTGTTTTAGCCTATTTGCAATCATTAATGCGTTATAGGCATTTTAGTCAGTTACATTTAATTGTCCCAATTTAATTTTCCATAGGTACACAAATATAACTTTGGAGATGGGGTTTAATTTTACCAAGCAAAGTATTACTTCGATGTGCGTCAGAGTGATAACACCGAACAGACTGAGAAGAGCCTAAAAATATTGAGAGGGTAATATAATACGCCGATATAGTGAAGATAAAACATCAAAGCAATAATAAAATTTTTCCACACGAGGCGCGGGATATCTATCCGACCGTTTTTGATTGCGGTCAAAAAGGACTTCTCCAACAGGCGGAATTTCCTATTGGTTGAATGCATTTGTTGTTCCATAGTTCCCACACACCAAAATTTCCTTTAGGTTCCCCCCAAGTCAACGTACTTCTACTTTGTGGTATAGAGAACACAATTGAAAGATTAAAAAGGAAAATGTGGAGATGAGAATCCCCGATTTGTTATAACATATTCAATAGAAGAATAATAGGCTATATGGGCATGCAATCCCTGTTTGGAATTCATTTAAATGAATTCCTGTCATAAAATACTTATGAAATTCAGAACATTTGTAAGCAATGCTACACAAATAGAACTAGATTTTAACTCTACAATCCTCTCTAACCAAATCATCCAGCATAACATTTTTGGCAAAATTAACTAAACTACACCAACGGTAGCGAGCGAGGGAGCAGAACGTATTAAGTAATTAGGGCCATGTGTACAACGCGGCCAGTAAGTAAAACAATTTTAATTTGCTGATTAACTGGGAGGGCTCTGCCTACACGACCGCACATCGATCGATAGCACGAAAACATTTTCCAGAATATTCCTTTTGCTGTTGTCAACCTTGATGAAGTTACACACCCCACACATACTAACGGTAAAATTAAAATTCTGAGGAAACTAAGCTAAATGTTAAAGTGGATTTGTCTAAAAGAAGAATTCCGTTAAGTATATTAATATTCACTAAAACGATTACCTTATGTATGTCTAACGCAATCGATTTAAATGAATATATTTAATAAATAATTTTAGTTTTAGCAAATATTAGCACGTGAAATGCGGAGTTGTTAACGCTATATTAGTGAATAATATAGCGCAATTATCATTAAATAGTTTTATGATTGGATTCGATTTAAATCCCTAGTACCCAAGTACCCATATGATATGTAAGACTTTTATTTTTGATCAAATAGATCTAATTGCTTTAATGATATCGCCATAGGAAGACTGATCGAAAATTTTTTTTGTGTCGTAAGGAAGAATTTTTTCAATCTCTTTCTATCATGAAATGGATGAGTTCCCACGCTCATAATAATAAGTGTAAGACCACCTGAAGAGATGTTATCAGCACAGTTATTGGTCAAATAAACAACCAATCATTTCTCACTTGCTCAAATTCATTTGAAAATTCAACTTATTAGCAAAAATCTTTGCCTAGGCCATAATTCTGCTCTTTGCCATTTACTTGAGTCAGCGTAACTACATCTTTGATTAAGGCCAGTGGAGAAGTCTTACTTCCTTCAATGCCTCCTCTAAACAAGAAATATTAAATTTATTTCGCAAGGAGTGCAAGAAATAAAAACTCCGACATAGATAAGTGAATACATTTTAAATCTGTCATTACAACTTTTATGATCAATGATCAAAGTTGAAATGGCCTAAATGAGATTAACCTTGAGTTTATTCTTAAGGGAAATGTTACTTTTAAAAGCTTTCATTATTCTTGGGCTGAAAACGTTTTAGGGACAGTTGGTGCTTCACATCACATTGCGAAAAAACTTAAAAGACACATATTTAATCATTTATTGACTTAAAAGTGGAAAAAATTAATGCATTTAGGCATTTTAGATGCACACGTACTTTTCTTTGTTTGATAGTTAACGTATTTAACCAGTGTGCATTTAAAAATTCTTTAAACCATTTTATTTTATCAAATATTATTCATAATATGAAATTAGATATTAAGCCTAAGGGAAAATGGGTTATTACTTGCGGTATTGGCAATTTATAATGCCTCATCTAACAGATGAGAAGTCCACGCACTTTTTTAATTGAGACATCTGGATCATATTTCAGACAATCCATAATCGTCTTGTAAGGATTGTCGGTTAAGCAGATTTTCCAGAAGACAATTTCGCTTTCCAAGAACTTTCTTTTCCCTTGTATTTAGTCTTAAAACCAGAATATATTCTTTTTCAATACTTTAAAATTCCAATATTTGGACGTCATTTTTTTATATATATTTGCCAAATTATCTCTTTTTAAAAATAGATTTTCATTAATTCAATTGTTTATCCGTGACTGGATAGCTAAGTGCCTGTAATGCAAATTTCATTACTCCAAGTTCGTCGTGCATCCCTCGTGACTTTTCAATAAAAAATGTATTTCATTTTGATTATTTTCACGATCGGCAAAAATAAGCACTCAATTTCAAATGCTTATGTTATTCTTAATTTCCTTCGAAAGAGTAATGAAAAGTTGTACTTTTTTACGCTAACATAGGTGTTTCAGAGCTCATTACTAGTGACTTTAAATCGGTTTCTTCTAAATATGTTTTTTTGCTAACTTATTGTGCTGCACCAATTGAGAAGAGTTTCAAATGCCGTGTTCAGTTTATTTATTTATTTTTAACAGATTTTAATTCACTTTGCCTTAAATAGGCTCCACGATCTTAAACAAAATGAATATTTAATGAGCAGATTCATGAAATATTTAGAAAACTGGCAATTTCCAGCACAAAACAACAAGAATATTTTAAATAAATCATTACACAAATTAAAATAAGGCAAAAAGATCCTTGAGATTATTTGTTTTCTTTTTATGGATTACAAAATTAATTTATTAAACACCTTTCTAATTTAAGGTAGGCCAAATTTTTCAGCCAAATATTTAGAGAATATTTGAGTACTTAATTAGAATCAGTTTTCACCCAAGAAAAATTAATAAGAAAAGTGATTTCTGAACATGCCTAGGGGCAACTTTTCTTCCATTTATCTCATAACCTGGGAAATGCACAAATTAAAAGTAAGTTTTTGTTAGTACAAAGAAATTGCAATTTTTATCTGATTTTTTTAAAATGAAGTAAATTAGTTAATTAGTATAATCCGAAAATTTGCAGCATTGGGCACATTATTTCAAATTTGCCCAAATGAGAATTTTTGTATTAAAACATTGAAACACCAGGTATTCTCAGACTCTGAAATTTTTCTTGCTTCAGAAAGCAATTTCAGACTATTTTTTTCAATTATTCTCAAGACAGTCGTAATGTTACATTTTAAACCCTAATCCATTCAATCACATGCAAACTAAGTGTTCTCTTCCAATGATAACAAAACGCAATTAAAAAAAGTTTTAGTTGGAAAAGTATTATTCAGATTAATTTATTTGTTTCTCAAAACCTTAGAAAATCGAAAATTTATTATGTTTGATCCGTTATTTCCCTCTTATCTTACTCAATATTTAGCCTCGAGCGACAAAATAATTAAACGCACACATGCAAAGTTTCCTTTTTAACAGAGTCCCTCTTCTATTCTCGAATGACGTGATTTGAGAAAGGGACAAAGCTAAAAGATACGCAATATGTATGGCTTATACTAAAAATTAAAAATTATTACTAACGTCAGCAATTTTCACATCTATTAAAGCCTCAATTGTACATCAATACTACCTCAATTCATATTTGCTTTCAGTTCAGTAAATAACCTAACTCGGCAACTTGTAAAATTGCACCAAGTAAAGTCACTTTTGACCTATTTTTCCAACTAACATCCTGCTAAACCCTTAAAAAGTAATGGCCAGGATACTGACATATTATAAATTTCTAAACGGTAATTCAAGGACAATGAATTTGTGAAATTTTCTTGTTCAAGTCAAGCAATTTCAATATTTTGTACCAAAAAAATAGATAATAATAACTTCAAATCGCTATTTTCTGTTCCTCCACCATGTAGGAATTATGCCTATTTTTCTGCTATTTTCAGAATTAACACCTGAAAAAATACTCATGTGAAATTATTAATTTTTGACATCATGTAAAGAAGGCGATTTGCTCTTTCAAAAAATTTTATTTACGCGATTGACTCAATAGTTTGGGCAATCGGCCTTGTTGTTGTACGAAAGTAGCTCGAAGTCTCCGATGTTTGTTTCTTCCGAAACAATCCCATGGCCGCTTTGCGGAAAACCGGTCTCACCAAGCAGTAAACAAAGAAATTGCTACTTAAATTAATCATAAAGAGGAACCATGCAATGTAGTAAATATCGGCCAGTGTGCCAGATGATTCCTTCCAAGTATCAAGAAAGTGCTTGAATGTCTGTATCACATTAATAACTGCAGAGGGTAAGATTAAAGCCAGAAAGCAGAAGGATACAGCAAGGAGTTGCATGGTTGTTGAGAATCGGGTCATCGTAAAACTCCCATTTTCGCCGCTCAACTGATCAGTTCCATTCGCTCCAGGTCTTCGGTGGTGTCGAATTTTGTAGAGGATAACTGCATTGCAAGTGCATATTATTGCTGCAGGTAAAACAGATAAGAATACGACTTCAAATATTCGGTTGAAATTGAGTACTTCGTTTGGTTGGCAGACGAATTCGCCAGTTCCACAAGGATCTTCTACCGTTTCGAGTGCAAAGAACCAGGGCAAGTTGACAAGAATGCTGATAAAGACGGCAAGGAGGACATGGAATTGGGTTCTTTGAAGGGTGAAAAAATTGATGGCTCTCAGTGGCCATACCACAACAATTAACCTCTCGAAGGTAAACATTACGACGGTCCATGTGGACAAGGTTCGAGATGCGAAGGAGACAAATACAGTAATCTGGGATTAAATGATATATACATATTCGTAAATAACTTATAATATTAAGGGTAATGGGTATGAAAGTCGTATTTCGCGAGGTAAAGGGTTCAATATATTTTATGTAAGATTGATTTAATGAAAAATTTAATTTTAATATTTTAATTTTTGTAACAGCCAAATAAGAATAAGGAAGTTTATCAACTCCCAGTACTGCATTGGGGCTTCTTCTAGTTTCAGATATAAATAATGTCAATTTATAAAGAAAAAGTCTGATATGTAAGTTTTTGTTTCACGTTATTGAAATTTCCCATATTGCAATTAAATGAAAACCATGACATCTTTTCAGATGGGAGCATTCAACCGTATAAAGGTCTTTTCAGTACTCTGAATACTCTAAAGTTTTTCAGACTCATTTCAATTCATAAAATATGTTACGTTTTACTGGTAAATAATAACTTAGCAGAAAAGATATATATTTTTAAAATTAATATTTTTGAAGGTTTCTCGCAGAAATATAGAATATAATTTTCTTAAGAACCTTCATTGCAATTTAAAACTGTTCCGTAATGTAGAGAGTTTTATCTTCGCATTATCTACTCAAATGCATTCTACCATACGAAAAGTTTAAACCGTGTTTATTATTTAAAGCCTTAATATTTGTTAATGAAATAAATTAGAGAGCAAATATGTCACTTAATATTTGTCATGGCTTTTTATACGTAATGAGTAAAATTATGTCTTCATCGTTTCCTGGAAACAAATTGGACAATAGAATGGATGTCATTAAATTCCAAATACATAACATAGAAATATAGAGACTTTATTATTATTTTTATGGGTTTGACATTCACTGGATTGAACTTTGTATTCCTTATGATCAATTAAATGATCCACATCAGTGAACCTAATCACTGCAAGGAGCTAAAAGTTACTTCTTACGTTGGAAATAAAAACTATGTCGAAGAAATTTTGCAAAGCTTCATTCCATTTTACCGCTCATTTCCCCTTAAAAATGCTCTAGTTTTGACCACAGGCAAAAATAAAACTTATTTTCAAGTGTATTTGTATGCGGAAAGAAGAAGTACTTAATCTACATCTAACTACTTAAATGGACATAATTGAATTGTAATTAAAACCTGAGTGCTTTTGTAAAAAGATACATTCAACTAATTCATTCCACAAATTTGAAATTGAGATAATTGATGCCAAGAAAAATAGAAATCCTATGACTATTCATATCTTATATTTGATTAATTTATCATCCATTAATTTTTTTGATTAAATTTAATTGACTTTCTTTATTTCGTAATACATTGGCTGGCAGATAAAGAAAATGAATGAATAAGATTGCTCCTGGAATTTTGAGTTTGAATAAATCCAACCCAGTTTTCAAGTGTACGGTAGAGAGATTACGAAACGTTTTCACCTCGATATTAACAATCGCAAATAAAATCGATTTCGTCATAATCTATAAAACCTGTGTATTTTTGAACTAGTGACAGCAGAATTTAAGATATACTTATTAGCAAAAAAATTATTTCACAATTCCCACGCGTTTAATAATTTTCTATTTTTTTAATAATTTTTTATTAATGTAGATTCATTGTACTGTCTTTCTGTATTAGAAAAAAGAAGGCTCTCAATAAATCAACATTTGCAATTAGCAACTCAGTTGGAATCAGATACTGACTTTGAATACTACCTAAAAAGTTGAAAAACTTGGCCTACAGAAAAGAATGATTAAAGTTGTATCTTGATTAGTATCGGAATATCTATGTATAACGTAAGTGAAATTTAAATAACCAAATTTTATTTTATTTGGCTTGTGGTAACTGAGGCGAAATGTTCTGCCGGAAAATAAAATCAGCCAAAGTAATGAATCTGAGACAGAAGCCTGTACTATTTTTACCAATTATTTTTTTGTTTTCATCAATGGTACCTATTAGATAGTAAATAAACTATAAAGAGTCGAAATTTGAGAGGAGCCTACATTAGTGGAAATCTGTATTCATTGGGATGTCACCATGTTGATTAATGCACTAAGTTTACGATAATTTATTGATGTGTTGAGAAGCACAATTGTCAAACTAAACTTCTCATCTAGTTTAAATTAGCGCTTTTCTTGGCTCAACTAAACGTTAATTGTGTGATACGAATATTTATTGATTTATTTATCAAAATCGATAGTCAGTGGCTGTTGGAATATTTTACCGTTGATATACATTTTTAAAGTTCGTTCGCTCGTTTTCAGAACGTTCAGTAACTGCCACTTACTGCTCAAGTATGACGCAAATGCATATCGTAAATAGTTAAATTTCAGAAAAGAGGAGTTGAAACATATAACGAAGCATATCTTCTCGAATATCTATCCATTAGCATTCCAACCAACGCATGCCACTTACCATCTTTCAGTCTCTGTTCAGCTTAAATAGTGTTGAATCTTAAAAAAAGCTTGTTAAAAATTTCAAATTTGCACAATATGGCTCATACGAAATTGTGTGACGTCTCAAATATCATTGATTATCGCTAAATGAAACTGAAAAATTATATGAACATGAAATGATAACTAAAACAAAAAATATGAAAAATGTGATCTAAAAGAATACTTTTCGTTTTATTAAACTTCTCAGATTAAATGTTTGCATTTTAGAAAATCGTTCTGTAAGATCAGTCTTCTCGGCACTGCAAGAACAACTCGAAAGTTTTTAAACGTCGAAAAAAGATTGCAATAAGCCCGACGACCCAGCCATTCAAAAGGAAAATTAAAGCTCAAATTAAGCGGCAATTATTTTATGAGAAGGCCAAAAGTATCTAAACTAGCTCGATTAACTTTGAATTCGTTCAGTTTAATGTAAAGATGTAAAGAAAAATGAACAATTTTAGTTAGAAAAGAAAATGACACAAAAGATTGGCAAATAAAACTTTAGGGTAGATATCTCATAAACATGGCAAACAACTGCAATTAATTGGTTTGAATATTTATTTAAATACCAGGAATTCCTTTACAAAGGGGAGTAAACTCGCTCTCTTCGTCTTGCATCCAATAAAAGTGACAAATGAAGTGGATTTCGTAAAGGTTTCAAGGTAAAAATCAAATAAACTCAACATTTATTTTGATTCAGGGGTGTGCGATAGACTTACCTCTACGTGGTGCAACCTGGGCAACGTATACTCATACGGCGAAAAAGTCTATTAACTGGCAGTTGACTTCTCACTTCAAACTACCATCACCTCACTCTATGCCATATTTGACTATTTCCACAGTACTCACCTCACTTTTTTTCTACCTTTGTGTTTGTCTCTTACATCTTTGAAAC